AAATTTGTTCATTTTCTAATGATATCTTCTGTTCTTTAATTGCCATGTGCATTGCTAACAGCGGAGCTATCTCAGCCGACAGGCTGCTTGTTTAAGTTTAGAATTTACATGTAACTGCACTGATAATTATGTGTCTTGTGTCAGATGCATGTATAAATTCATTTTTGGTGAGTGATCTTATTTCCTGTGAATCATTTTAATTTCATGTTAAAGTGACTTGTCATGTATTGGTGGTAACAAATTTTTGGGATTTTAGTATCTGCTAAAAGTGTAAATGTTTAGGCAAGAAAAAACTAAATACTGGTAATATCAATAACTGACACTTGTCATCCTGTTTATTTAGATTTCTGAGTTGATCTATGTTACAATATTTGCTCTATTAGTGCATGTATTTATGTGATTAACATTAACAGTGTGTCTGGTCATATTTGGTATACAATGAAAGCGTGCACTTAGAATTGTGCTTCTGATAGAGCAAATGTGGTATTAGTGATTGGCCTTTTAGCTGTTATACTAGCTAAAAATTTGCAATCACTGAAGTTGTTTTCATTCATTTATATGCTTTTTTGTACAGTTCTTAGTAACAGTCAGAGGTCTTTTTCCATCTCAGAAAACATGGACTTATAATTTCACCTCTGTTCATCCATCTGTCTATCTTGAGATACATATGCACTAATATTAGTTTCATTCATACAAGATGACCGAAAAGTGGCCATTTTAGTGCCAATAATTCCTCAGAATTTAACAAAAATAAATTTGGTACATACTACAGTGAACATAATAGTACCGTTAGTATCGTTTTGTTTTCTAGGTTTGATTCAAAATAGCCAACTGGTGGTCATTTTGTTTTAATGAATGGTTTTTCAGAGACATATCTCTGACATGCCCTATAAGTGCCCATTTGAAAAAAGTCTGAAATCTGGGACTTTTGATTACACGATTCAAGATAAACTGAGTATAAGCATTGTAGGAACCTGATGCATGTCATTGTTTTTCAGATCAAATTCAAAATATCAGACATTGAATGCTGTTTCAGAGCTATATCTGTGACATGCCTT